AAAACACGTTCGATAGAAAGTGTAAGGGAGATTTAGTGGAGATGGAGTAGGGAAAATTACAAAAACCCCTTCAAAGTACACTATCGACGCAACTTACGATGCAAATACTCCTCCAACCATTTTCTCACTTTTTTTTTTCCAAGTATACTTTCTATGCAAATACCCCCCCCCCCCCCCCCCCACCACAACCAAAAGAGTTTTTTTTTTTTTACGGAAATACCCTTCCTGTACCAAAAAAATCAGTTGGGTCCGATTATCAGACCCAAGTCACACATCGCCGGAGCGCAGTATGCAATTGCCGGAGCGCAGTATGCAATTGTCGAGCGCATTGTCTAGAACATATACTGCCAGAGCACCTTCGGATATTGCCGGAGCGCTCTATTCAACTGCCGGAGCGCCTCATCTCCAGAACATGCACTGTCGGAGTGCTGTCGTCTCCAGAACATGCACTGTCGGAGCGCATGCGTCTTGAGTGCCGAAGCGATGTCTCTTGAGTGCCGGAGCGCCCTATGCAACTGTTGGAGTGTTGTGGCTCCAAAGCATGTATTGCCGAATTGCCACAGCGCCCTTTCAGACTGTCGGAGCGCATTGTCTCCATAACTAAACTGCCGGAGCACCTTCTGCTACTGCCGAAGCGTTGTCTCCAGTGCCGGAGCACCCTATGCAACTACCTGAGCGTTGTGGCTCCAGGCATGTATTGCCGAAGCCCAATTCATGTATCGGATTTCATTCGCCCCATGGTTGGGAACTAATGATTGGTTCGGTTTACAAAGATTTTGGATTTAGTCAAAACGATCAAATTATATACGGTCTCGTTTCCACTTTTCCAGTTATTATAGATACTATTATGAAATATCAGATCTTCCATCATTTAAATCGTATATCACCTTTACGTATAGTTATTTTTCATTCAATGAATGAATAAAACTTATTTCATTTAACATCAACAAAATTGTAATGTTACTTCATATATAACCAAAGCATTCAAAATCTTACTGATTCTTTATGCTTTATTTACTTGTAGATTCCTTCTATATTTCAATACAATGGCAGACTCGTGAATAGGGAACTATACTAGCTACTTACCGAATTTATTGTAGAAATTTCCATGATCAATGATTGGGCCATGCAAAATAGAAATACTATTTCTTAGCATCCTTTGAAACTGTCCGAGCGCATTTCCGTTAAAAAAATGAGCATTTTGTACAGGGAAGGGTATTTCCGTTAAAAAAAAAAGAACTTTTTTGATTGGGGGGTATTTGGATAGAAAGTATATTTTTTGAGAAAAAAGTGAGATAAACGGTTTGAATGAGGGTACGTTGCATAAATAATATATTTTGGGGGGCTTTTTGTAATTTTCCCCAACGAAATATTGAGGCAGTTAGGAATCCATGGTGAGTCTCAAATGTTTAGATTTCCTTAAGCAATATTTTTATATCTTGACTTGCTAGCTATGTTAGGGTAGCAAAACCCGGTAAAAGTCAATATTTTTTTAATTGTTTTTTTTTTTTTTTTCTAGAAGATGATAGGGATCCAGATTTAGATAAAAAAAGGTTTTCATTAAGGAAATATAAACAATGAGACTGTTTACTGTTTGATCAAAAAGGTTTTCTTCAAGGAAACATAGACAATGAGATCATTTACTTTTGATACATGAAGATGACAATCATCATTAACCCTTAGATTTAAAATTGGATGGTTGAAGACATGCCATTATTTATACATAATGTTCAAAACAAAATTTATGTGTTGTAACGAACTTTTATCTATTTGATTTTACCTCCAATGGATAAAAATTATTGTTATTTCTTTGTATAAAAAATATATGGTCTCATAATATACAATCCTTTTCTTTAACTATGTAGATTGATTTGAATATGAGGATACCTTATTTGCAATTGGACCAAGAGATTTACAGTTTCTTTAATTTGGCTTCTTATCCGGTCTTTCTAGCCACTACAATTCTCAGGCATCGTGATTTCTATGGATGGTGACATAGTTTCGCTTTAATTTTTTTTATTAATTGGTTCTAATTTTGTCAAGCCAGCTCAGTCTTGTTTCCTTTCGAGTAGTACCAATGACACTTGTATATCAGTTTTTGAAAAGTACTGAATTCACTCACATTTCAGAATATATATAATAAAAATAATAATAATTAACTTGGAGAGAGAGTGTTGAGACCATAATACGGCCAACAGTGTTCATACGTAGCTCCAAATGAGCTTGGGTTCTCTCTTTGAGAGAGGGATTTGGACTACAAGACTAAAACTTTCACTTTTGGAACATACACTCCTCTCTCTTGATCTCGATCTCATCTCGAAAACTGCAACAAGGAAGCAGCTGGGAACTCTCTTTCTCTCTGTTCAGAACTTTAACCTGAGAGGCAAAAACAAGTGAAAGTTCTCACAGCTTGGTGCTTATCACGTTGTATACTCTGCATTTATCTTGACATAATCGTAGCTCAAGTCACACCCCCAAGCTTGACCCTTCCCTGGTCCTGAGCCTATACCAACAAAGTAACGAAGGTAAGCAACAAAAGAGAAGAAAAAATCTCTTTTGCCGCCATCGGCAAAATGTTGGATATTTTGACAAGCCACTGACCATTACAGAATACCTATTTCATGACCATCCATAAAGTCAATTAAAGATAAGGCTCTGATACAGATATCATGATGCTGAAACAGGGCCCAAGTATTCACTTTTATGAGCTTCCACGATAATTTGGCTTAGGGGAAATCAAGTGTTACCTACGGATATACAAATTTCAACTGTGCCATGTGTCTCTCCAGCGTGCTTGAGATATGCACTGGCTGCAGTCCTGATTAAAGATTCAACACTCAGAATAGAAGGCATTGAAGTGAAACCAGTTGCATGGTATATAATTTACAACAAAAAAGGGTTCTTTCATAATGTGTCCATTCCCCCAAACGGCTTCATTCAATACATATGATAGGAAAGTAGACTCAAAGCAACTTTCTACCATGTCCAAAGGGAAGCACTAGTCAGTGGTCTGGTCATTTATGTAAAAACAGACATTTTAATCTCTTTTTTTATTTTTCTTCAAAAATATGTAGCAGTTCTGATTAAGCTTTTGTCTGTTTCTTAATGATCAAGTGTTTGTCCTTTCTTTTCATAAATGAAAATTTCAGGATTATTATTTGGTTTGGCACTCAAAAATAAAGGAAAAGAAAATGAGAAAACATCCAACCATTTAAAAGCTAGAAAAATGAAAAGCATGTGAGAATCCCAAACTGAAGGTCATTTTTAAGATCTTTGTGAGAATATTGGGACTGTTTACTTTCATCAAAGACAAAAATTTGGGAAAAACTTTCAAATAATGTTTGGGACTATTTCCAAAGGTTGTAAAGCTAAAACGCGAGTATCACACACAAATGCAGTTTAAGCGAACCTGTCAAATGGCAAAGGTTGACCTCCATCCATAAGCAGAATTCCTCCAAGAGATATGCGAAGTTCATTTGGGATGAAAGGAACCCCTGCATACCCAACAGAACAGGCAATGCGACCCCAGTTTGGGTCTCTGCCATATACTGCAGCCTGTGGAGAAAGAAAGGAAAATCTCTTTCAAGATTCTGGAATAAAACTGTACAGCTCTTTATTTTTGCTATGTTAAGGAAGAAGAATTTTGGAAACTAGTTTTTGAGAAATGGAAATAATTTGTATATGTTTAATTATGTAGTAATGGAAAGCGTGGATGGAGTTCCTTCCTTGGAAAGGGAGGAGGATGCTACGGATCGTGCAATCTTTGCTGCTGCTTCTTCACTATTCGTGCCAGTAACTGTTACCTTTTTATATGGGAAAAATCAAGAGAAACAACAAACAGCACTTTAGTGTAGTTCCAGGTAAAGTCTCGACTATAACAATTAAATGAATGAAATGAAATTGAAGAGTTTGCAACTTTAAATATTATTGGAAAAACATATCAGACACAAACTGTGAGACTAATCAAATGCACAAGACTAATTAACAATTCATGTGTCCTACACTCCATCACATGAAAGCATGTGCTCGACAATTGACGTGCTGAGGCTTAAATTACACATGGAAACCCCCAGTTCCCACAACAGCCTACCAATGTGTTTGTGTATGTGTGCATTAATGTGTAATCACAGCTAAGAGAACGTAAGCAACTACCGTTGCGATGTTTATTTCCCTGACTTGGATCCTATATAATATTTGTTTCATTGTCACCTACCCTCAGCAACTCATTTATGGTGTGTAGGAATGCATGCCCATAGAAAGGGTTAGGAATATTGAACAAGGCTTTGAATACGAAATCATGGGGAAAAAGAAAAAACAGACTAACATGGGGAAATCCATGTAAAAGAGGGGATAATATATTGCATGCATATGATGTGTACTTCAGAAGACACACGGGCAGCCATCCACCATCTATTCAAAAAAATGATATTGGAGATGAGCCCATCTATGGAGACTACAGACTTCTAGAAGAGCTTTGTCCATGCAGTAGTTCATCACCACTTTCCATTTTCTGAACAGAAGGTGGATACACTGCCCTGTACCAACCAATGTACATGCTGTATTTTTTAGGTATTTTCCCATAAGAAGAGTAACGCAAACCTCACGAGAAAGAAAATATTAAAATGGAAACTGCAAAGAGGGAGGAATACAGAACCCAAGATTGAGAAACAATAAGGAAACCATGTTAGATCATGTTTTCAAGACTACTTTCTTCATTAAGAAGAAATAGAGAAAGAAGTAATGAGATGGCAAATCATTCTCTTTTCCAGCTACAAGCAAGTGTTTCAATTTTCTTACTTCTTTTTTACTTTCATCTTTTTGTGGTGTATCTTTGAAACTCTGGATTTCTATGTATTCACATTTTAAGCACATCTGAATAAAAATTCGATTAAATTTTGTCCCTGGGTTTCTTTCTATTATGATTTAGTGCTAATATTCCAAAATTCTTTACTAATGCTTGACTTCTGTAAATCTAATCCTAATGCTTTAATGCCAATGATTATCTATTCTAGCTTGAATAAAGTAATTCATATCCAAAAACAAATTTTGGTAAATTGGGAAGAAAAACAAAACTTTTTATTTATTTATTATTGGAATTGTCAGAAAAATCGGACTACTTTACGCATATTTAGCAATTTTAACAACAGTAGAAATTTTCAACAATCATTACTTTTGCTTTTAATTTACATTTCGTATCATATTTACAGACATGAATGAGCAAGTTCTATAACCATTTAGAAGTCCTTTTTGATGCATCAAATTGTATTAATGACTAAAACAGATTTGGCACTGCAAGGGATCATTCAAGCACATTACAATGGTTCAAAAGAGAAGAAAATTAGTTTCGCTAGTCAGGCTTCAGTTGTACCTGTGTGATTCATGAAATCATGTGAGGAAAGCATGACCTTGAATAACATCAGAAGATATAACTACATCTTCAAAAGTATAATTAAGCAAAACAAATTGCATAACCAGACCTCAACTAGGCATGTCGCGCCTTCACCATCCCATGCTATTGACTTCGCCAGACCTTGCAACACCTACAAAAGGAAATAGGTGTTCGAGAATAGACTGGATAACCCAAAAGACAGTTTACAACAACATGTGAATCAACATACATTGAGAGAGAGAGAGAGAGGAGGGAGGGAGGGAGGGAGACAAGAAGAGAGAGAGAGAGAGAGAGAGAGAGAGAGAGAGAGAGAGAGAGAGAGGAGGAGG